GTGTTATATGATTTGGACAATTTTGCTGTTACACTTATATATATATATATATATATATATATATATATATATATATATATATATATATATATATATATATATATATATATTAAATTAGAATATAGAAACCCTGGACAAATTTTTTTAAATTTGACGAATGGAACGTTTCAGGAAAATAGATTTGATTCAGAATAGATTTGATTATGTATTTCGCCATTTGAGGCTTCTTCACATCCAAAAAGGAAAAAAAAAATGGAATAATGAAATATGTGCATGTTTATTTGAATGCATGCTTAAATAATGAATGTTAGTACTCTTTCCCTTAGCTGGCATTTTTCATGATTAAAGAAGAAAGAAAATGAATGACTTTAAAAAAAGTCTTTAATCTTTATTCTGGTATCTTTTCTTTACAATTCTTAGTCGAAAGTTGTTAATGGATTTTCCAAGTTTTTTTGTATCGAATTAAAAGCAAATCCTCTTCTCATTATCAGTATGCATCGAAAGCAACAAATTCATTTAGCGTTTTCTGAAAAGAATCCAAGGCAAATACTCATACAATCTTTCAGAATAGTTTGAAAATAAAAGACATTTTTGTTGTTTTTGTTTTTGTTTTATCCACATATTTTTACAATCGACAATATGTTTTAAAATTAGGATACACATATCCAGTGAAAGTTTTTAAATTTGAGTAATGGAAACATTTCATGAAAATATTGTCAGTCTATTCTATTTTCATGTCAAATTTCTATCTATCTATCTATCTATCTATCTATCTATCTATCTATATATCTATCTATATATATATATATATATATATATATATATATATGTCCGAATGTAATGAGAAAGAAAATAATCTATAAATTCTAACGTTCACAGCATTAATTCAAAAGAGTACGATAGTAGAGAAATAATTATTTATTAATATTTTTTTTTCATATAGACAAAACCAATTTACTCACTACAAACATGCACCTTCGTTTCGGTGCATTAATTGCACTTCGACTGGTGAGAAACAAAATGATTAACTATGGTTATAAACCACGAATGGTGATAACCATTTTGGCTTTCACTAGTCGTGGTGCAACTAAATGCACTGAAACGAAGTGAGTAAATGTTTTTGTCTATATGAAAAAATTATATATATATATATATATATATATATATATATATATATATATATATATATATGTGTGTGTGTGTGTGTGTGTGTGTGTGTGTGTGTTTTAAGCATTACGCCCCGAGCAAGGCGTGAAGCCACTAGGATGCAGGGGTTGCAGAAAATTAGGAGCAAGAGCAGATAGGAGTGATTGAAGAAAGGATGAGGAGAAGGATAGTGGATAGATAAAGGTAACTGGAGATGTCGATTGGCATTACATTTGAATAGTTAGGGATTATAGCTCTCAGAGAAACAGTAATATGGAAGGGTGGTCCACAGGCGAGAGGTGCTAGGTATGAAGCTATTGGAGTAGAAAAGACGGCTACATTTAAAAGTTTCTACATTGAAAGGGTGAGAGCTGGATGCCAGCCTCGTAGGGTTCTTGAATTCATGAAGTCTGGGAACCAGTGAAAGCAGCTCATCGGAGCAATTACCAGGAAAGTATTTGTAAAAAAGTCAGAGAGAGGCGACGGCGCGTCTATGAGAGAGCAACTGTAGATTAGATGCCAGATCAGGGCCAATTATATTACATATCCGTCTCTGGAACTTGTCAAGAACTCCGAGGTAAACAGAAGGTGCCCCAGACCATATATGGCAGCAATACTCCATGCAAGGGCGAATGGTTGATTTGTATATTTGAAGTATCGATTCAGGGGATAAATATTTCCTAGCGCGGCACAGAGAGCCAACTTTTCTCGCGGTGGATGAAGCAATTGATATATATATATATATATATATATATATTTTGAACAATAAGAAAATTAAAAATTAAAAATTAAAAATTAAAATCATTAGACACACTGGGTTGTAGATTAATATTCTTTCGTTTTTTATTATTATTATTATTCCATTTAAATTCCTCGACTAGTTTCGACCGAAATGGCCATCATCGGGAGGCGAAATATTTCTGCTTGCTGTTAGCAAGGAACTACAGAAATGAATGTCTTTTGTTGAGAAAATGAACTTTTTGTCTGTAGTTTTCATTTGTTTTTTTTTTTTTTTATCTTTTTTAACATGAATCTTTTAACATTCCTTGTGTTGGTCAAACAGTCTCTTTTAAGTTGTTATTTGAGATAAGAACTGGATAAGATACATTTATCCTGAATTCTCTGGTCAGTTTGACAGTTTTATTGGACCTGGTGAGGGATGTGTCTCTGTTTAGTGTTTGTGTGTGTGTTATTTGGTTCTTAGGAGTGAGTGAGTATGATATGTGTAGCGTGTGCATTGCTGTAGGTGTGTTATCATTTGGCTCATTAGGGGGGAGTGAGTATGGTGTGTGTACGTGTGTATAATCGTGTGGGTGAGTGTATAAGTGTGAGGCCTCCATTCCTCCTTAAGCATGTCTGTCTTGTGTGGGTGAGAAATGTGGGTAGGTTTTGATTTGATTGTTACCATTATATGTTGTTAAATTTGTGATTTAGCCCGGCTGGGTATTTGTTTTTTAGACGTTGTATCCACTTATTTTCATGGGACTCTAAAATTTTTCTAATGTTATCTGCTCTGAACTTTTCTATTCTCTCAATTATAGTGAATCTGGCATGGGTTTTGAAATCGTGTTTTCTAGGCGGAAATGTTGTTCTACAGGTAATAACTGCTCATAGGGAGTCGATTTAATTCGCTTACGATAATTATTAATTCTGTAGTTAAAGGGCCATTCAGATTTTCCTACATATTGTTTCTGGCATAGTGTGCATTCTAGGAGGTAAATTATGTTTTGACTTCTACAGTTAGAATCGTGGTAGATTTTGAAAGTAGATTTAGTGATTGAGCTAGTGAATGAATTCGTGTTTTTAATATGGTTGCAACATAAACTTCTTTTTTGTTGTTACATGGTTGGGAAAATCCTGTTGTTTTTGTTCTCAGTTTCTTACGGTTTACCTTGTCCCCTGAAATGTGGTTACTACCTATGATTTCTTTTTTAGGTTCTTAGGTCTACGATATGCCAGAAGGCCGGGTTCCTTAAGTTTTTTTTTAGGTCTGGTTTGAGATGTAGTATTTCCCAGCGACGTTTGATTATTTGGGATAGTGGAGGCAGAGTGGGATTGAAAGTGGTTACTAGAGGGATGCGGCTAGATTTATTTTTAATCTTGTATATTAGGGTGTCTTCTCTAGTGTGGAAATTGCTTTATTTATTTGTTCCCTGATTAGGTGTTGTTTATAGCCACGTGTTGTGAATTGATGCTCCAGATTTTCAATGTGTTTATTTAATTCTTCATTGTTGGAACATATCCTTCTGAGTCTAAGTGCTTGTGAATAGGGAAGGTTCGCTTTGAGGTGTTTAGGGTGGGAAGACTTAAAAGTGTAGATAGTTGTGGGTGTCGGTGATTTTAGTGTGTAGTGTCGTTTGTAGTTTCCTGTTTTCATCTATGTAAATGCAGGTGTCTAAAATGTTACTGATGTTGTGGATTTTTCATATTCAAACTTAATTGAGTCGTGCACTGTGTTTAGGGTCATAAGGAATTGGGTAAGTTTGTCATCACTACCCGTGTATACAAAGAATATATCATCGATATATCTTGCATAGAATACGCAGTCGCTACCAATGATTGGATAGATATGGGTTTCCTCAAATTTTCCCATGAATATTGTAGCATATGATGGAGCTGCAATGGTGCCCATGGCACAACCTCTTATTTGAAGGTAGTGCTCCATTGAAGTTGAAAGTATTCAATGTAAGGACATGCTCCATGAGTTTTATGATGACTTCTGTGTGGGGGTCCTGTTTTTTCTTCTTTTTAGTAAGTGCTTCCTGAAGGGCGGCCAGCCCTTCGATTTTTTTTTAATGTTTGAATATAGTGACCTAACGTCCATAGTCACTAGAATAGCTTTTCTCTGGTATTGTTTGTATGTGATTAATTTTGTTCAGTAGATCTGTTGTGTCTCTGATGTAGGATTTTACTTCCTTAGCTAGCGGTTGTATGTAATGGTCTATGTATTTGGAAATTTTTTGTCGTGTGGCAGTTGAACGATGAAATAACCGGCCTTCCTGGATTGTTGCTTTTGTGTATTTTAGGAAGGAGATAAAGCGGGCAGGTGTAATGTTTGTGGGTGTAAGTGTTGTGCATGTTTCCTTGTCGATTAGATTGTTGCGAAGCATTAAGTTTAGTGAGCTAGTTAATTTTTTTTGGTATTCTGGAAGGGGATCTGTAGGTATGCTTTTTGTAGGTTTCTTTGTCGGCTAGCTGTTTGTTGGCCTCTTTAACGTATTCTTCGATTCCCCAGATCACTGTCGCACCCCCTTTGTCAGCCTGTGTTATGATTACGTCATCCCTATGTGTCAGTGTATCGAGGGCTATACGTTTCTCCTTCAGTCATATTGTCACGTGGCAGCTTACGTGCTATTGTATTCTTTTATGTCATTTGTTACGGCTAGTTCGAATGTCTGTATAGTAATGTCTGTGTTTCAAATGGGTGTAGGTAGTATCCTTCTCTTTTAATGTCTCAAGTATAGAAGGTGTATGATCATTTTCCCCATAGTGGGCTTTTTAACCGTATTCTTCTAAAGAAGGATTTCAGGTCCTTAGCCAAGGTGTCTTTATCAAACCTTGGGGGACTAGGACAAAAGCTTAGTCCTTTATTTAATACCCTGAATGTATTGAGTGAAAATTTATTGTTACTCAAATTTATAACTCGCCCGTATGGGTCAAGTTTGAATTTGCAAGCATGGCGAAGTTCTTTTGTAAAAGCTCGAAAGCTAGCATCATATCTCCTATTAGGGATGCTATACCCCACCCAGGTGTCCTGGTTGGGGGCTTATTCCGTTTTTTTTAAGGTTGGGTGTGTCTGTTGTTGACTGTCGACTAGGGGCTAATCTAGGTGGTCTGGGCTGTCTAATGGAGTTATGCGTTCTGTAGAAGGGCTGCTGTGTTTTGGTTTGTGTATGTTTGTACGGCACCCTAAGGATGTCCGCGTAGGTTAGTGGTTTGTTTTGTGTGTGTTTGTATTGAGGTTCTAGCTATTGTTGATGGTGGCGGTGTTGTTATTGTTGGTTGTGGTGCTGCTGTTTGTCTGTAGGTGTACTTATTTGGTCTGTTTTGTGTTTGCATTGGTTGTGTGGTGGCGGTGTTTTGTTGTTTTCTTTTTTTTGATATGGTCGTTCACTTTTTTCAGAGTTTGGCTTCATTTCTTTTTTGTTCCTCTGTCTGGAGGAAATATTCCATCTTAATTTCCTTTGTTTTCAGTTTTTGTTTTTGTAGTTCCCTCACTGTTTTGGTCTGTGTGAGCTTTTATGACATTCTTGATGTTGGTATATTCTTCCGTGTCCGTTTGTTTTTATTTTCTCATCGAGCAGGTTAATTTCTGCTTTTGTTGCGGTTATGTTTTTCTTGGCAGAACTGCATGGTATCCTGCATGAGCTCCCTGGAGAAGTCTTCTAATTTACGGTACCATGATGCTAGAAACGCGTCATTGTGGTTACCTATAGAAGGTTCTAAATCAATCCTGAAATTAGTTGGTACTAATCGATCCTTCAGGCATATCCCAATATATTCCGGTGTGATTCATACCTGGCTAATTTGTTGGTTGCTCTATTCATGCGGATAGCCAATAATTCTGTGTTTATTGGTTCTGTTGGTGTTATGTCCTCGGCATTTGGTTCAGTCCCGTGTCCATTATTCATGATTATATTTTGAACAATAAGAAAATTAAAATTAAAAATTAAAATCATTAGACACACTGGGTTGTAGATTAATATTCTTTCGTTTTTTATTATTATTATGAAATTATTCCATTTATATATATATATATTTGGTTGGATTGATGTGAGTTTGTAACCCTGGATTTCACGCTTTTGAAGCGTGAAACCCAGGGTCCCAAACTCACATCTATCCAACCAAATATGTTAGCGCTTTCTAATATTGACCATATTATAATATATATATATATATATATATATATATATATATATATATATATATATATATGTGTGTGTGTGTGTGTGTGTGTGTGTGTGTGTGTGTGTGTGTGTGTGTGTGTCAGGATCATTTCACTTATAATCTAATTTTATACAACTTTTTAGCCAAACCAGGCACAAGAACCACTGACGTTAGACAGTTACTGAATTAAGTATTTTAATAGCGCAAAAGTAAGAAACAAGTGTATATTATAAGGATATGGTAAATTATTATAGGTAAATATAAGCCCTAAACTTTTAGAAGTTAAGATTGTAGTGATAGGGACGGTATCCTTTTAAAACTCTGTTTCAAAAACGCAACAAGAAGAAGTTTTGTGGAACTTCACCCTTTCCAATTGAATACGAATGGAATGGGGACAAGTTGACTTTGTGTACGTGACATGGCGGGCCATTTTGAATGTCTGAACTGGTGGAACTAATGAATAAGGCTCGTGTTAATATTCGCCATGAAAATAACAACGGAATAGCAAGGTGATAGCAAAGTTTCGTTTGTAGGAAAGAAAATGTATGATGGAAAATAATTAATCAATAAGGCCAGCATACTCACACCCTCGGAAACAATGGCTTGTGACTTCATGCTAGCAAGTTCAATCGACGTCTCCCAAGCGTCCCTTCAACCTAACTTCACTCACAATGCTTTTGTTAACCCATGCTATAGCTTTCAGGTACATTCCAAAGCTTGGATCGCCTACTGCAGACCGATAACATCAAGATAAAATCAACAAATCGACCATGGTGAGATTCGAACCCAGAAATCGAACGTTTTGACCACGTGACCATAACTGCTTCGAAATATCAGTATAAAAAAGAAAACAATGCGAAGCAAACAAAACCTCTTGTAATTTATGACTTCCATGACAGTTCCACTAAACAACGAACATCGACCTTTGACATCGTCCTGGGCACACAGAGAAAGTTATTTTGGTGGTCTTGAAACGATAGAGATTTGTTCTCGTATAAAATAATAGTAATTGCTTGTTCGCTTTAAGCCATTTATGACAGAAGCGGGGGATTGTATTAATATCGGTCTTTCGTATAAACGAAGCAACCTATAGTTTTAGTTTAGAGGTTGATCGACCGCTGTGGGTTATTTTAATGCCAGAAGATAAATATTTTGAAGTTTTATAGCTTCAACTAAATATATTTTAAACTTAATTGTATGTTTCAACTGCAGACCTAATGTATTGCTGCTAATTCTGTCATAAATAGGTATCGTTGCTAATTCTGCCATAAATGGGCATCGTTGCTAATTCTGCCATAAATAGGTATCGTTGCTAATTCTGCCATAAATGGGTATCGTTTCTAATTCTGCCATAAATAGTTATCGTTGCTAATTCTGCCATAAATGGGCATCGCACACTTTAAATATTGTTGCCACATATGATCCGATGCCCATACTATGTACCTTGAGCTCCTTCATAAAATCCGAATAAGTATCAGCACTATTGTCATTCCTAATCGGGCATCTCGGCTTCCGTCATTTTCCCGGCAACGTAACGCTGCCTGACCGTGTTTCTTCTATAAATAAGTTTATGGTAATTATCCAGATGAGCTCTTTTCCGTCCACTCCCTCGTTAGGTGGTCAGTGATGTTAGTTCTCTCGTAGATGCAGAGCGCTTTTCGTTTCGGGTGTGATTTTCGTATTTGTCGTGCTGTTTTGAATGTGTGTGTTTGAGCGAGTGTTTGGGATGAATGAATGTTTATATTATTATAGTCCCGCATTGATTTCGTCCATTTAACTGATGTTTTTTCCTCATTTAAGGAAGTGGTGGAGGGGGGGCTTATTACTAACATTATATTATTTGGTTTCTTTATACTCATTGGGTTTTTTAAATTGTTGTTTTATTCCCCTCATTTCACAGACAAAGAATTTACATATGGGAACTAGTTAGGATTTTCATAGAGACAATGAGGTATTATGGGGGATGTAGTAAATAAGGTAGGTAAAAATGTGCTGTTTTGGTACTAGGAATATTGTGGGATGTTTGGGTCAGTGTTTGTGGCTACCTATGTTTTAATTTAAGACAGATGCTGGATTGTTCAGACTGTTATTCAGTCAAGATAACGCTGTCTCTCCCGCTCAAGCGACTCTGTTGGTGTTGAACAAACACAAACGTTTCTGAGCTGGCGTCTGCAACAGGTATTGGACGGGCATCCTCAGATACGAGTGGTCCGCCATGATGGCCACTCGTATCCGATTAACTTATAAACAAGTTAGGAGACCGATGTTGAATCTTACTGCGTCTCATTTTTCAAAATTACATCAATTGTCGAGCCTTCTGTTTTATTTTGCAAATATCCTCTTCTTTTGGCAGAGAATATTTCAGGAACCACTCGTATATAGGAACTCTGGTCTATTTTGAGGCACAGGTATCGAGTAAATATATCAATATTGATCTTGTCTCCAATATACCTTCACCTCCTTTATAATTATCTTGTTTACTGATTGCTTTTAATAGCACGGCGACACTCAATTAACAAGGTTATCTTAATCACACGCCAATTAACACCACGTCCTCAGATTGTTTCAGATAGCATCATTAGATTCAGTAATTAGCGTCTAATTAATAAAACAACCTTTAATACAATATATTTCTCTCGAAGATGTTTTTTTTTTTCTATTTTCGTTTGTGGCTTAATAGTTTTTGACATCATTTTCCGTTTTGCACAGCGTTTCTGCATTTAATGTTTACTATACGTAGGGAATTGCTACAACTATACACTTGATATCAGGCGGCAGATATCGTTCGGAGCAGTACAGTGTGGTCCGAAAATCTTGTCACCTACTACCAAAAAGTAATAAGAACAACAGTGAAGACTTGTCGCACGTCATCAATGCTCTTGCCAGAAGGCAAACAATCATCTGTCCATCTGCAATCAGCCTTTCCTCAATGCTGCAGGAGCTAGTGTCAACCATCTGAAATAGAAAATATGTGCAGTGACAAGACTTTCGGACCATCCTGTACATTAAAACTTTCATCAACTGCTGCCAAGTAAAGATAACAATTTTAAGAATAGGTTAAAAGGCGACCGAAGCATAAAAAGCGATAAAGATGAAAACAGCTTTATTAAATTATATGTGACAATAGACACAAGTCGGATGCAGAATACCCCCCCTACCTAGGCAGGTAAAAGGAAATATGAAAATGGAGCCGTGCTATTGATTGTGTTATTTGTGACAACAAATACATTTTGAAAATTCCTTGTTAAACGGGATATTTCTCAATTATTAAAACATACTCGTTGAAGAACAATTCTGAATTGTCCAGAAGTATTGATAATTTAAAAGATATTTTTTTAAAATTTAATATAATTATTAAATTTTAAAAAAAAGAAAATAAATATTAAAAAAAACACAACTATTAGTTTTGCATCTCATAAAAATTTACAGAATAATTTATCAAAAACGTAATTAAAAAAATATTCAGAACAACATTATATTTGTGTTATACTAGAACACACCTATTCTATAGTTAATAGACTCCCCCACCTATAATAAGTAGTAGTAGTAGCAGTGGCTAAGTGAGGAGATGAGTGAGTTGGTCAGCCAGTCGATGTCGGACACTAAGAGTATGAGCGACCACCACTAGATTTTTCTGCGTCATTACCTATTTTAGCAAGTTCCTAACGTGTTCTACGTCGAACCTATTTTAGGGCCGACTTAGTGAAATACAAGCCTCCACTGTGAAACTCCTCTATAACAATTCGGCAAACGTGGATAAACGTTACTGTAATAACTCTTTGGCAATGTCATCACTCTTTGGCAATGTTTATTGTTTTATAAAAGCGATGATTAATATTGGAATAAAACCTAAACATATAATAAAAGTGAATTTATACGTTTTTTTGTTATTGATAATTTTCATAAAATATTAAATACTATTTATTAGATTATTTTCAAGAATATTATTATATTTACAGTATTCTAAAAACTAATACAATTTTAGCAACTGTTTATCAATTACCAATTTATGAAATAAATGAGAAATATATAGCTATTTG